TTTCCAGAGTTCCTGTCTTAATGTTAGTGTCATTGCCATTGCCTCTTAAAAGACGTGAGTCAGCCCAACTTAAGTTTGCAGTAACATTGCCCTCACGCTGCTAGGAATTGCTGCCCTAAAAAAACGATAGCTGCTGAGAAAACTATGGTGACTGCCAATAATCACTCTAAAAAATGGGCACTGTTGGTGACAGGATGGTTTCCTCTCCCTCCCAACAAATATTACCCCAATGAATGAGTGTGAGTGAGGCTTCCAGGGACTTTGCCAAGAGGAATGCTTGCATAGAGAGTTGAATGAAATGTTACACAAGGTAAGGATTGCAATGGCCTCTGGAATCACACAGGAGGGCTTGGGAAGAAGCTGGGAAGACAAGGAGACAGAAGATGGGTATTTTTCCAACTGATTATGGCTCTTTCAGTAGTATTTGTTGTTGCACTGCTTGAACTGAAAACTGCAGGACTGTCTTTGGCATGGGGAAGATGTTTCTGGGTGGGCTAGATGTGGGGCTTTCATTCAGAACTGACTGTCATACATGAGGTCCAACCATCCTACGAATAATTGGACAAATTGCTTACCTCAGCTCCCATGCTCTGCTATAAAGTATCAAGCAGCTTTTCTTCTGAGACCAGTAGTTTCATCGGCAGGACTTTAGCTTGGAGCTGGTCTGTAGTGTGATTTCAGTGAAATACATCAAGATGACATGAAGTACACTCTTACCCTGGAAACTTTTCCCTGTTTATAGTTATAAATACACCATGCTATTGTGCTTGGCATGCTGCATGGTAATAGAAGTGAGGGCTCTGAAACTCATTAGGAAAGGGAACGGGCCATGGAGCAGAGCGAGGACAGCATGAAGCGAAGGTTGATCACCACAGCCTTGTCCAGAATAGGCCATGGGAGTTTTCTTATCTCGCTTTGGCAGGAGGTGCTGCTAGCTTCCTGTGCGAAATCACGAGCATATGCTGCTTTCCTCTTGTTGTTTGGCTTCCTCCGCTACACAAGACGGTTCCCAGCACTGTGATTATCTTTGCATCTTCAAACATGGCACACTCTGCTTCCTCAAGGGCTTGATGTATTCTCGAGTAGCAGGCTGCCTCCCCTCCCCCGGCCATTTCTCCAGGGCCCTCATGGGTGCCAACTCCGCACATCACAGACATTTTATAAAGCTGGATTTACTTCTTGTTGCATAAACCTCCCCCGGCCTCTCCAAATTAGTGTAAATTCCCAAAGCTCTGGGTGAGGAGCAGGTCTGAGAGCAGAACTCTCCCTGCTACAGGCAGAGCCACTCTCACCCTCTTCCCCTCTGTACTGGGTTTCTTTGAAAACCTTTCAGAGAATTAGTGGCTCCTGTTTTTACAAAAGAATAGCCTTTTTCTCATGCTCTTGACACAAAGGCCGATGCATGCTGGTGCGAGTGCATAACTGCAAATGTGCATGCCAGCACGCATGCAGGCACATGGGAAAAACTACTTAGGGTGTATTAACCTGAGTGCTCTGCTTCTACCAGCACTCCACTAAGGCAGCTGAGTCTGATTACCTCACTATGAGGTTGTGTAACTTCTGTAAGCTTAGGTTTGTGCACACCCCTGTTAGCATTTGTTATGTGGGATCTCTACACATGCAGAGTTGCACCCACAAAGTAGAAACGTGAAGGGGGCTGCAGGGACACAGGTGAAAGAAATGCATACAAATGTGCTGGCAGAAATCAGCTTGTTTATCAATCCCTGCACACGCTGTGTGCTCTTTCGTTAACCCAGCGGTAACCCTGCTCTAAGATTTCCTGAAGATGCAAAGCACTGAGGCTCATCCCACAACAAAACATTTCAGGAATTCATGTACTCTGGAGATATCTGCAGTAAGATTCAAATACCTAAAATGCAGTGGGATTTCCCTGCAAACACAGAGAGATCTTGCTAAAAATGTAATACCCTTGTTATTTTACTGAGTGGGTAGTTTAAAGAAATTGGTAATTTACTTGAAATCAGAAAAATATGCAGCTGATGTTATGTGAGGACACACTCTATGAAACATCAGTCGAGTTAACAGGAAGATGATTGCCTATTTTGGTTCCAGCCAGCATGGATTTTTGTGTTTTCATTTTCTGTCTCTCTCTCCAAGCATCTGTGCTTAACACAAACATTTCGTTTGATGATTACATCTAAGTTCAGCAGAACCTTTTCTCTTTCTGTTACAAAACTTCTGCCAGTTGTCAGAAGCTGAGGTTGGGTTAAGAGGCAGGACTTTTGACTATTTTTTTCCATCTCTACCTGATGCTGTTGGCCTAGGCAGCACCTTTCATGTGCCACCCCTGGCAACAGTAAGAGGTGGGATGACTTGGAGTATTAACCAGAGTAGCCAGCTCAGGATAGTGGACAGAGCTCGTGTGTCGTCCCTGAGTTATTTTAGTGTATTTGAGGTTACAGTGAAGGGATTTGGCAGCTGATGAGAGGAAGCATCTGGTTCTACATCCAAAGGGATGAGTCTGAGTCTTGTCCTAGACTCTGCCTGGCAGCCGTGCTGCAACTGATCCGTAAACGTTTGCTGATCCAGCAGTCATTGGAGCTGATGCTGTGTGTACAACAGTACTCACACCTCCAGCTGTGTGCTGTTGGGTGCAGCATTCTCAGCTTGATTGTGACTCATTTTTTACTAAAACTGTGGACAACAGCTATGAACTGTATTCAATTTTCTACTTTAATTGCATTAATGTTGTAATTGCCAGTTTGGATATAGAATGGAATGTAGCATCAGTAGAGTTCATATATGTGCCTCCAGGGCTAATCTAGCATTTTGCATGTGTTTTTCTTGTTATTGTGATGTTATTGTAGTTCTGATGGTGGTTTGCATTCTGGTATTAGTGAGTAATCAGCATCTCACTGTGCTAAACATCAACAAAGACATAACACTGTCCTCATCCCTAAGACATGGCAAACTAAATATATAGTCTTTTTAAGTAATTGTGAGGAAAAGTATAATAATAGCAACTGAGTCCAGAGGCTCCAGAGCTATAAGAAAGGAAATTGGAGATGCTTTTCAGAGATGCACAAGCAGCTTCTGAATATGCCTTATGCCTTCTTTCTGTCCTTTACCAAAATATGTGTAAGGACTTCTATGGTAAAAAGTACAAAATTTCAGCACTGTAGCAGAGAAACATAAGTGCATGCTGTGGGAATAGGAAAAAGTTAAATTAGGAGGCACCTTTTAATATGCATGAAGTGGGATTTTGGTGTCTCTCTTTTCCTGTACAGATTGCATCCTGTCACAAATGTGCTTTTGATGCTGCCTGTTTGCATGCCTGGCATCACAAAATGAGTTTTGATATTTTCTACGGCATGAAAATGTTACCAGCTTAGCCAAATTATCTTGCCTTCTGTGTTTTTTTCTTGTTACAGAACCAGACTTCTTAAAGCTTTAAATGTACAAAGTAAATGGCATCTACCTTTCTGAAAAATTTTAACCATTTTTCCCCATCTGAGTGTAACAGGTGCCCTTATTAATGCACCTGTCTTTCATTCTCTATGGTCTCAAAAAAAATTTTATTAGAAATTGGCCTTTAAACCAATGTCTGAAAGATATGGTTGTATAGATAGGGCTTTCCTGCCATGCTCTTGCTCCCTGTCCTCTCTCCATGCATGAATCTCCATTCCTTCTCCTGTCTTTTTTTCTGTCTTTTCAACACACTGATCCTTTCAGTGTGCATTGTGAAATTTTGGCAGCCAAAGTTAGTTTCCATGTCATTATTTCTTTAAGCTGTAATATCTGCTAAGTCATTGCCAGTTTGACGCAAAGCTGTACAATTAAAAACAGGCATGTAAAGTTGGTGTACCTTTGGTATTCTAAACAACACAAAGTTTACTGTGCAAAGAAAACTGCACAGTTGGCTGAAGGGAAATGAATCTGAATCTTTGGTCAGGATTGCATCATATTCTGTTTTTCAGTCACTGGGCTTTAAAGTTCATTTCTCCAAACAACTGTTATACAAGTCAGAACTATTTGATTACAGATAGGACAGCCATTATCTTTCAAATCCAAGGAACACAGTGTATTTGAAAGAGCATCATCAAGCTGAAGGGTTAATCTCTGCCAATTAATGTGGAATTGAACAAGCAACAGCAAAATTCTGGATGAAAAACTGAACTAGATATTCTCAAAGAACAGGGTCAGGCAGCACTTAAGAAGCATTCCAATGTGTTTATATCCATGTGTAACAAATCAGACTTTAAGAAACAAATTATCCCTACCATGACCACACCTGAATGTTCTGATTACAAGCCGATTTGTTACATAAGGCAAAATCATTTTTTCCCTGGGACTTCCATTCATTAAGATGCATTTGATTTTCTTCCAGTAAAATTATCATTTAAATCCCTTTGTCATTTGGGTATAATTCTGTTTAACCTCATTTTTTTCATTTGTAGGATTATGCTTATTTTTAGTGTGTGTCTTGTAATCATTGAACCTCAGTATTAACATCTTACAGTTTTGTAAACTGAACTAAAAAAATGTATTCAGAAATGAAAACCAGCATAATCTTTTGTTAAGGCAAAAAAGAATCTACACAGAGTACAAGAGCATCCAATGCCCTATGGAATGCATCTTGAAACAAATATAATTTGTCTTGAGTTAAAGGCTAAAAATAGTAAGAACTCATGTTTTGGCCATGTCTGAAAACAGGAGCATTGGAAATGGTATGTTGATCTTGTACAGCTCTATATTTAGGCTGTGGCTGTAAATTCTGGCCTCACAGTTTGCAGTGGCTTAAATGTGAACATTTACTTCAGAGAGCTAATATTCAAGGAATGAATGTGGAAGTGAATCCAATTATCAGGCTCTAAACCTCAAAATTTAATGAAAAGCAATTATACTTTCCTGGTCATCACAGTACCTGTAGTTTTCCTGACTGATCGCTGATTTCAAAACAATTGTTTTGTATTATGTGTTGAATTTCTATCCAATTTATATCACCAAATCAATAACATTTTAATTTTTGTTGTCTTTAGGCATGGATTTTGCTTTTATACTGAAGGATCTTACATCCTGAAAGCTGGCAGCAATGTAGGAAACAGGATACAGAGCATCACTGAGAGAACAGCTGTAATAGAGGGCAAAAATAAGGTATGATTCCTAGGAGCAGATAACCTTTTCATGTATTGAAAATGAACTGTAAAATGCTATCAAGGTAACAGAGAAGAAGCCAGCATTTTGATATTGTGTAGATTTTAGGACCTGCATACTTGTAGATAAGTTTCATACTTGGTATTTATCTGCTCAGAGTATTTTTTTTTCTGGTGACAGTCATATAAAGGTAAGTGACATGCCAAGAGAGTGTATCAGTGGGATTCACTATATCTGCTCTCTTATTCACAGTGTGAATATCTTGGGGTACCTCAGGAGCAAGGGGCAGGGTTCCAGGCCATCTTTGCCACATTTTGTGAAATTGCACAATTTCATGTTGTTTTATTTCCTATGAGAATTAAACTATGTACACTCATTAGTCAGTTTATTCACAGATGTGGTCCTAGTTGATTAGATGGCCACGTCTTTTTTGGAATAAATTCTAAAGAACCAAAAGAATCCAGATTATGGAAGCAAAGTTTAAGAGAAGTCTCAGTCAGAGACAGCAAGACAGGATTTATCCCATCAGTGTTAGCCATCTAAAATTAGTTGATAGTCCAAGCCAAGCATCCCTTTATGGGTCATGGGGACATGCAGATAATTCTGAAGGGCATGTAGGCCTATTGTCTATTGGTATCTAAAGTGGAAGAGAAAGCCCATGAGATTAACTTGCCAAGGGCTAAGGAGGCTTGTCCATCAGTTAAAGCCTCAAATCAAGGATCCCCTAGGTCAAATGCACTTCCCTAGGATAGACATGAGACTGATTTGGTGTGGCTGGGTGGCCTCTGCTACAGAGCAGCTCAGGTGTCATAACACTGTCACAGTCTGTTTTCATAGGCTAGTTTGTGGTAGTAATAGCTAAAAAGATTATAAATTTTAAAGCCTATCTTACTCTAGGCCTTTCATTTTTAATTACACCAAAATGCTTCATGTAATTCTAAGGGCACTGGGGTTAAAGGTCTTTTTTCCTTGATGGTTGCCTTCAGTTTCCTGCATATGAAAATGGGTATAAACTGTAGTTATACTCATGTCAAGGGCCTTTCACACACCACAGAATAAATAGGGTTTTACGTGCAGCCAAGAATTAGATCTGGGACTGCATTTTCTCCGTCTGTTTTACTATTTAGAAAGTATCACAGGTGTCCATGGCACCATTCCAGTGCATGGGAACAGGCTGGATCCCAGGGAGGCATTTGCTCTATTTAGCTGTCCAGCTCTACGTGCTTAAAGATCAAGGCAAAAATGGGAGCTAACACTATCATAGGAAAGCACATGAAAAATGAAACATAAGGAGGGATTGGAAGGAGCAAAGGGAAATAATTTCAGGCACAGGGAGACAGAGTCTATTACATAGGGGGGAATGATGAACAAGATTATAAGAATCAATTATTTTCCAGCAGTCATATAGCCATGTTATGAGTGCAGTCCTACCTGTTCACAGGATGCAGAAGGAGCTGTCTAATAACCAGATCTCATTCTCCTTGTGTTCCATGAATTTTGGAGACAACAGAAGAGGAGTGGCCAAAATATCAAAGCAACTTCCAGTCAACAGCAAATAAATTCCTCCCTGGAGGAAGATGCTAATGATGGGTCCTTGCGTCAGAACTGCAAGTCTTTGGCAAGCAGCCCTTTTTAAAAATGTGCCCAGAAATGAACTAAGGAATGGTCCTTGCACGGAAAGATTTGCAGTGAAACTTACTGGTCCTCCCTGTATTCCTTGTCTTTTTGCTCTTTAGTTCAACTAAGAAAGGTCTACCTTGCTTTGCTTTACTCCTCCTAGTCCCTATGTGGAGGGGGAGGTTAGTGAAACAATCTCTGTACTCATCTTTTTCACAGCTTTTCTAATGTTTCTCTATTTCTGCTGCTCTTCTGTAGCTTTTCAAGCACAGCTGGACTGCTATTGTAAGTAAAACGTGCTCTCTAAGCTCAGGCTCCTGGCCAAGCTGAGAGTTGCATGATTAGTGCACACACAGCTGCTCTAGGGCATCCAGGATTGTTATTTTAAATCCATGGGAGTCTATGACTTTTCACTCTTTGCAGTCCAAGACTCACTCTCAGTGTCCCTGAGCAAACTCAAAGAGACAGCTCAGACAGAACCCTTGCCCATCTGCAGCGATATTGTCAGAGCATTAATAGCACTGAGCTCACTGAATGCAGCACGTCACCACAAGTGCCTGCCTCGGATGGACTGCTACTGTGAGCAGTTCTATTCCTGCAAGCAGCTGTGACCAGCTCTCCGAGGCACTTCCACATTGGTGGTACCCTGCTAAATAAACAGAGTGTCTACCCCACTTCCACATCCCAACACAGCAAGAGTGGTAAAAACAGTCTCAGAGCTCAATGGAAACAACAAAGATGTAGGAGACAAAGAGGTAGGAAATCAATGAAGAAACTCAGAAAGTTTCACATTTGGGTTAGCATGAAAGGAGAAATGTGTGTGGTCACAGGATGAGATTATTGTAAGCAAGGAAAGAGATGAACAAGGAATGATCCACAGGTTTCTTTAGCAGTGAGGGTAGCTGTTTTCACTTTCCTAAAGACACTGTGCCAGTTCCACATGTTTCCTGTATATGCAACATTTAAGTGCTTCTAGTTTGGCTCTTTGCTGTGGTAGGTTGTTTGTTTGTCTGTGGTTATCAAGGTTGCTACAAGTATATTTTAAAGTTAGAAAAAACTCAAGCCCTGTGTCTGTGCAGTTAAATTAGTGCAGGAAGCCTGCTCTACATTATTCTTTGGTGACAGAGAAACCGTGGCAGCAGTGTTTTAGTAACATTTCCGCTAAAGCCTCTCTAAGCAGACATTGAGAAACTTGAGTGGTACAATGGAAGAACTTCGTAACATAAGCCATAATACTTAATCATAAGACAGCTCTTTAAGTGATTTGTTTCCCCCACCCAATGTTTTGATTCTCGTTTTGTTGGACATCCCAGTGACTTCCTACACAGTTGGCTATTCTTAGGCCTGTTGTGTGAACAGGCCACAGACACTCTCCTGTCATTCAGCTAACTAATGCCCACCCCTTCTCAATATTCCCCATTAAAGCTGACTGCTGGCTCTAACTGAGGGCTAACACTGATTATTATTCTTTGCATGGTCAGTGTTCATTAGAATGTCAGTCAGTGAAGGACCTGCAATAATAAGGTACAAAGAGCTGGTGCATTCATTGTGCCTTTGCATACAGCTGGTACTTGGTACTTCTGCTAGGGGTACAAGGGACAGACCTCTGTAGGAGAAGTCAACAAGGATCCTGAGCATGCAGCATTGTGCTTAGAAGACCATTAAGAAGGCAAGTTCAGATAAGGGAAAGCAGAAAGTGTGGGCCAAGAAGAAAGGATTATAAATCCAAGGGAAGGCACAGTAGACAGGAGGGCATTTGAGCACAAGGAAAAGGTGGAGAGAATGAGACAAAACACTCTTGGTTTTGGGAACTAACCTACTGAGAACCTGAAATGGAACCAAATGTCCCTGACTGTCTCATGCCTCTGCTGCTAGCATATGTTGGAGTACCACTGACCAATAGCAGGTACTGAGAAAGCTGGGTCTATGTGACAGGGTATGCCTCCAGGTATGGTGTATAAAGGGTAGCAATGCATGAAATTGGAGCTCACCATGCATGTGTGTGTGTGTGGGTAAAAGTATATATATATGTATGTATGTAGTATGTATGGTTTTGTTTTCCACTGCATGAATACCTAACTGACACAGGCTTTTAGTGGTTCCAGCATTTGTGAATGACAAAGCCACTTGACTTCATGGAAAATGGAAAGTAATGGCCCTGTAACATGGCTCTGGAAGACGAAATTTAGACTCACCCATGTGTATCTCTGGCTTGACTGGCAAAGATGGATCAGACTGACTGGTGGTAGTATTAAACAATGTAACCCTCCAAAGTGGAGTGATAAATAGTCAGAAGAGTCAATCCTTCCTGGACATGACTGATAAGTCTAATCACACAAAATAAAAGGGTTCCATCTCTTCTGCATCTTCTATGCCAAGCCCTAAAAAACGACCTCTTTTCCGAGTTTCCACATTACTGATGAGATGGAGAAGCATGTGCTGTGTCTGTTCTCAGTCCTGACACAAGCCAGCTGTCTGGCCAGTATTTCTGTGCAGATTGGCCATCTGGAACCAGAAGAGGAAGAGAAAGCTGTTTTGCTCACTACAGCATCATCTTGATCTCTCTCCTCTACCCAACAGCTGGTTTTCATTAAATGCATGAGATCCCATGAGCTTTGAGTTGTCAATAAGTCTTGGTTGAAACTGGACAATGGATTCAAAAGTTACTGAGCATGTGGAGAAGGAGAGGATACCGGCAGACAGATGGACAGGCTAGCAGACAGATGAACATAAGGACAGTAAGATCTTCCTCAGAACCCAGGCTGAAGATAGCCATGGGAGCCCCACTTGCCTCTCTTCAGCACATTGTAACTTCTCCTGGAGCCTTCTGGAGTGCTACTAGAATTGGTGTCAACACTTTTAAGTGGATCTTTGGGAGGCACTAGCAGAGCCAAGCCCTTGGTGGGATTAAGACCAGCAGCACTTGGGGCTTGCTGCTGCTGCTGAGCTGAGGGACAGCACGGGATGCAGAGGGAAAACACAGCCCTGCTTGGTATACAGCAGCAACTCATAGAGATTTTTCCCAGGGGGAAAGTAGGTGCTCCCCTGTGTGTCCTCCTGTTGATGGTATTTTTGTGTTTCTCCTATGGTGGTCCTTAAGGTGAAATGTGTTGACCAGATGCTTTGCACTGATGCTCCATGACAACATGTGAGGCATGCAGATTGTATTGGCACAAACAAACCAATCCAGCAGTGCATTATCAATATTTAGAAATGGACCTTCCTAAATGACATTCCATTATACAAAGATAAATCCAAGAGCGTAAAGAGAGCATATTTTCATTTATTTCTTTTTTTTTTCTAACCAATAGTTCTTCTTAAAAGCACAACTAGAAGAGAATCAGCAATAACTGACAGACTTGCACTAACCTGCTCTATGTTGAAAGGGCAGTATTTTGCTTCTTAAATACATGGGCTGTCTCAAGAAGTCAAGGCAGCAATCTCTGAACAGAGCAAGTTCATGTCAGTGTCTTAAGAGGCCTTCTGGGAGTCACATAAGAGCCAGGTTGCCAAACATTTTCTGAAAACTTTTTTTCCTTCTCTGCAATCAGCTGGGGCACTGGGAATCCTCTATCTCAGCTACTTTGAGAAGAGAGAAATTTGAGCAGACCCTCCAGGGGAAAGACCAGCCCACCATGGCTCCAACAGCAATGATCTTGTCAGCTGCTTTGCATGCTCTTTGCCTCCCTAGTCTTTTCCTCATCAGTTCCACCACAAACGAATCTGTTCATTCCTCTTCCATCTCTTAGGATTTCTGCCTTATGCCTCTTTTATTTGCCCAGCAAAGCAGCAGCAGTATGGGACTTACTTCCCCAGTCCCTGACTTTGAGATGAGCCTGTAACATGGTGCTTCAACAGAGATGATGAGAGAAAAAAAAAAAGGCATAAAGGGCCAAAACTTTGGTGGTAAATGGGATTTGTGGAGAGATGATGCTGAAGATATTGAGCCTGCCAGAAGGATTTGCCTGTTCCATCTGATCATGCCAATTCACTTTAGACTTTCTGTCTATAATGTGGTTGCCAATCCAGGGACTGAAACTCCCTGTTGTGATGCCAGATGATACAAGATTGCGAAAATTTTACTTCTTTTGCAGTAATAGCTGTACAGAGGGACCATGCTGCACAAACTGATCTCAAAAAGCCATAGTTTCTCCATAAAACAATATGCCAGGCTTTGTTTTGTACACACTGCTTCTCTGGTGGGTTTTGGCGGGCATCCACAATGAAAAACACAGACTGCACCACTGGAGGGCTCACAAACTATTTAAAGAGATGTTATCTTATCCTTGTGACTAATTCATAAGCTAAAAGATTTATACAGAGACGGGTTGTCTCTAAAATAGTCTGTTCTGTTGCAAAGTCAGTCTTGCTTCCTCTTAGACACTGTGACTTTCTCTGCCTTAGTAGAGTAAACATACCAGTGTGTGCTCTCTAGAATTAAGGCCTCCTGTGTTCACAGCATTTAATTCCCTTGCCTTCCAAAGATCCATTGCTTGTATGGGAGTTGCCTGTTGGAAGGAATCCTTGGCCCATACTAAAGAAGTATTTGGAACAGTGTAAGTTGGTCAAAACCAAAACACTGCTGGGGGGAAAACTGCAGTTTAAATCACTGGCTTTCAGTGCCAATGAATGCTCTCTCAGGCAATTTAATGCAGAAGAAAAGGCATCATCTGTAAGTCACTGCAGTCATACTCCTTTAGCTTAGATCTGTGCACCATCCTCAGTGTGACAAAAGTAATAACAACATCACAGTGGGCTGAGGCAGTAAAACCCAAGATAGTATGCACAATTTTCCATTAAAAAGTAATACCTAATGATATAAGGACAAAATGCAGTCTGATACTCCCAAAAACCTTTCAAACCTTTGGAGTACTTGTGGAAGGAATAGTCAGCACATGTTTTTCAGGCTCAGAAATGCTTTGCCTCTGTGTACAGTAAAGACAGATGTCGTGGAGTCACAGAGCAAGAGCTTCATTCTCCTTCGCTGTGCATGTTAGGTCACAGTTGCTTCCTGGACAAAGTTGCTGTGAGGTAATACCAACTAGCAGAAAAAAGGCTGTTTTTTGGTGGAAAGTCTGGCATAGCAGAAACAGTTTTTAACCACCCACAGCAGCCTTCTGTGGTAGACATTGTGGGACTCCTTCTGGTCTGAGTTAGTGTTGAAAAAACTATTCAGGAATGCAGGAATCCTGGTGCTGTGCTCTGTGTCCACACTTTAAAAAATTTGTTTAGAACCTGGAATAAATTCAAAGAGAATGACAAAATATGGACAGGGCTGCACCCACCCTTTATAATTAGAAATGTGTAGAGGTCAGCCTACTGAATTTAGAAAAACAGGATGATTTTTTTCCTAAGGGCTGTAATTATCTATCCGATATTACTGATCCTCTTTCATCTCACAGAAGATCCAAAAGGTAATTTAAAAAAATTATAGCTAGAAATATTTTGTAGTGTGTTAGCGAACAGGTAGTTGACCACTGAGACAATTTAACAGAGTAGAGGTGCTCTTAGCATTACTTGTGGTGAATTTACCATAGTGAAGTCTTCTAAAACAAATAAGTCAAAACCAAATTATTTGCCTCAACGGTGTTTGCTTGAGTAGTAGGAAAAGTAATAGGCACTTTCTACTAAAGAATGATTTTGGGAAACCAGAAGAGCTATGTCATTTAGAGGCTCAACAGGAGTTTGGGGATAGCTTTGTCCCAGCAAGAGACTAAAGCAATGCAAATGTTTAGTCAGTGTTTATGTAAAAATGTAGATAACTGGTCCTTATTTATTACTGCCTCTCCCTCTTGTGCTTGTCTCTGAACTTCAGCAATTAGGCAGACTTAAACGAATGTATTAATTGCACAGAACTTATTTTTTGGGTTTTTAGAGAAGCCAAATAATTACAAACAGTGGAATTCTGAAGTCCCACAATTTCCGTTCATCACCGTCTCAGCTCTGCCCGTAACTCCAGACAAACCATGTTTTACAGAACAAGTAAAATGGCAACAGGGAGACAGAAAATTTAGTTACCAAGTTGTAACTGGGAACACATGACACTGATGAAGTCCATGTCCATGCCTCATGTCTCCATAAAAGAGTGACACGTCATTTGTTTCTGCAAATCTTTCCCCTTCTGCCTAGTGCCCAAGCCATTAGACCATGGCTTTCCATCACCCTAAAAGTATAACTCTTATTATTACAGTAGTTTTTGTGTTTCTAAGGGCACATTAGGTAGTTTTGGTCCCTGGCCTTTCAAGGTCTTATCTTTCAAGTCATGTAACTCTGAGAAAATATTTAGTGAGATGGACTTCTTAAGATGGTGATAGAATATAACATAAATAAAACTGACATATTATTATTTGATAATAGAAACATTAGAGTCTAAGAACAGAAAATAGTACAAGAGAGGATGAGTAAACAACTCTTTTGACACTGTTCTGTCTCACCTGACACATATGTGGGAAAACGAAAGAAATCAAATTAGTTCAGTGCTGAATTGAGCTCCTTTTTTCCCCTCAGGATTATCCAAATGCCTGAGGCATGCCTCACCTATTCCCTTTGCAATCTGGCTCTCCTACAGGCTGCTTATCTCCTGGTGTGAAGCACATTGTGTCATGCTTCATGTCTTGTAGTTTACCATTACATCACCAGTGAGAGACAAATCAATCTGAAAGACATGTTCAAAGATTTTTGGTCATGACGGCTTTGATGATATAAGGGTCACCCAAGGAGCTTGTTTCCTGTTATTCTTCTATCCTTTGCAAAACTGTTTATAGTGACATCTCCTTTAAATAGCCCCAGAGGTGCCCATCACTGAACAAATGGAAAGAGTGAATCATGGGATGGTCAATGATGACTTAGGAAAAAGAGAAGGCAAGTTTAACTGAGTTCTTGTGTCAAGGAGAACTAAACCTCTTCTCTCTTTTGCAGACTGCTAGCACTCTTGTTGTAGCTGAAGCCAAATCCTCAGGAATCTACAGCTGTGTGGCATCCAATAAAGTGGGAAAATCCGAAAGAAATGTCAGTTTTATTGTAACAGGTAAGATCTACTCCTCTATAGAGTCAAACGTTTCCTGATCTTGGAATTATAACTGTTAGATTGTGTGGCTTTTTAATATACCACTGTTTCAGAATTGCTGTAATGTATGCACTTGTAAACTCATACTCTGTTTTTGGGTGATGCTGGTAGGTTTCACAGCAGCTGGTCTGGATTTCTAGGGATGCCAGATTGTTGAATGATTCATCCCTCTCTCAAGCAACAAGCATGACAGAAATTACTCACAAATACAGCAATGAGTTGTATTCCCCATTTTGGTTCATCTCTGCAGTAATTTCATGCATGAAATTTTAGTGTATTTTCACCACCAGTAAGCCAGTTTCATGTGTGACATTGACAACATCTAGACCCTCATTCTGTTGCCCACCAGGATATCTCACAACACAGAGCCTAGAACAGTGCCAGTGTCTGCAGGCAGCATGGTGCTAGAGATGTCTGGAGTACCTCTCACAGATCTCAGTGACAATGGCAAATTATGGGTGGAAAAGTGTCAGGATACAGACTACAGAGTTTTGTTTCCTCTTCTGAGAAAGACAGCCCAGAATGTCATTTGCACCATGGCACTGAGAATTCTTATCTTGTTATCTTCATGTATGAGTGTGCTTTTTGTTATTTTTGCATTATGAGATGTGTTTGGAGTTTTCACAAACAAATGACTTAATGTTTTACTACAGGAATTACTGAAAAAAGCCCACAGTGTGGCTTTGGGAATAACTACTGCATTATTCAGCAACATAAAGTCTGCACATGCAATTACAAAGGATTTGGGTTTTGTCAAAAGTTTTGTTTTGTTTATAAAGCAGTAGTTTTATAAACTTAGGCTGTTGGCAATTTTCAGGGTAGAGCATTAAAGAAACATAATTCATTCAAAAATATGAGAAAAAGCAAAAAAGCTAAAATATTTAGATGCTTTAATCCCCAAATCATAATCTCTGGGGTTTTTATGTTGTCATTCTCTTGCTTATAATTCTGGTGAGTAATTTTAGAGAAATTAATTCTATTTCTATTCTGAGAGATATCAAAAGAGAATAGACACACACTCACTAGATTTGGTAAAAAAAAAAAAAAATTAAAAAGGAAAAGCTACTTTAAAAAATGTTCCCCCTCCCAAACTCTGTATTTTTTAAGTATTCTGACTAGCTGAATCATAGAATACCAAGTTGGAAGGGGCCTCAAGGAACATCTGGTCCAACCTGTCCTGGGAAAAGCACAGCATCTTGTCCAGATGGATCTTAAAAGGGTCCAGTGTTGGGGAATCTACCACTTCCCTGGGGAGATTGTTCCAATGACTGATAGTTCACATAGTGAAAAATTTCGTCTGTTGCCCAATCAGAATCTCCCCAGGAGTAACTTGTATCCATTACCCCTCATATTTTCCATGTGCCTCCCTGTAAAATAGGAGTCTCCAGCTTCTTTGTAGCCACTCTGCAAATACAGGAACATGTTGATAAAATCTCCCCTAAGCCTTTCCTCAAGGCTGAACAAACCCAGTTCTCTCAGCCTCTCCTCATACGGCAGACTTTCCAGTCCTTTGGTCTTCTTTGTGGCAGCTCTCTGGGCCCTTTCCAGACTTTCCACATCTGTTCTGTATAGAGGGGACCCAAACTGAATGCAGTATTCTGGAAATGGCCTGACAAGTTCTGAGTAGAGTGTAATGACTTCTTTATCTCAGCTGGTGATGTCCCTGCTGTTACAACCCAGCAGCCTGTTGAAATTTTACTTACCACAGCAACACCCTTTCCATTCATGCTGAGCTTGTTGTCTACCACAGGTCCCTTTCCACAAAGTTGGTCCCCAGCTGAGTATATCTGTTGACACGGATGAACTGGTTTTGTGCTTCCAGTGGAATGCCCTTTCCTCTAACTGGTAAAAGAAAAGTTAGCTTGGGTACCTTATATACAATATACAATACCTTTCACTGGCACCTCCAGGAGATTTTGTAGTCTTCCTTGAATCTGCCCAGATTCCATCTGGCTTCCATCCAGCTTGCAGTATCACTCCTGCCCACGCAGAAGAGTAGCAATGAGTAGTAGTCAGTGCTCTTGACAAGTTGTGGCATCGTCTCACCAACATTTCAGGCCTTAGCTGCCAGAAGGCAGCATAACTCCTTGTCATACCAGCAGATGGGCACTACTGCAAGCACTCATCATTTCTTTTTTAGGTATCCACTGTTGTGCTTCTCGTACAGTTTCACCTGGCAGACTTTGTTTGTGGGTGTCTACAGCTGTTAAATCTCCATGTCATAACATACTTTCACATTTAGAAAGTGCCACTTATCTATAAATACAGAAAATTGGTAAGAAGCATGAGAAGTATAAATACATAAGTGACGCATAGGCAGGTTGTTTGTTAAAGTACAGAAACAAGAAAGATGTCTCCATGTTCTATTAATGGAAGTGACAAGAACATTTGCCACCTTGAAGATGACTCTTGTCCCCACTCTCAGTTTTGCTTTCTTCCCTATCTCCACATTGTGTGTGTTTGGACAGAAAGCTGAACACCACATAGTTCTCCATAAATTAACATGCCAATGATAGTTTCATCTCTGTGTGGGTACTTCACATGAAACTTTGAGAAGTCACCGAGAATCATTCACTGAGAATGCTGCTCTTTCAATGTGCAAGATGCTGAATTTGGCCTTCTTTAACTCTTACTCCTCAGTTTTAAAAACATGAAATGGAAGATCCTGAAACCAATGAAGCTGTACTTTGATGGACTTCATTCACCATATCCAAATCTCCCTTTCAAAGTTTTGAAGGTGGTTTCAAATATTTTAGTGCAGTGAGATGAAGGATGTAGTTTTCCTATTTAAACCCAGCATTCTGAGACCTTAAACAAGGATGGAAGGAAATACTTCTTGATAATAAAGCTGGCACGAGAACATGCCAAATGTTATTACTTCCCTTTAAAGAACCTTATATTTGCTGGTGTTCAGAAAGAGGAGTGTCAGCTTTATTATGTCTTGGAATTTCTTAACATCTTGACTGGCGGTAAACATTCTTTATAAGGTAGTGGAGTTGAAATGCATTTGTCCTATCAGTTCCTGGAGCTGAGCACTTCAGCTGTGTGACATGGAAAGTCCTGATCATCCTCTGACACTCACTTGCATTGATTGAAAGCAGTGTAAACAATATTGCTGTTTGGTCCCTACAAAAATCTAGTTATGCTCACCATAATTCTCCTCCATCAGGCTGAGACCAAACTGCTGTGGCCTGTGTTTCACATCAAGAAACAAACATGTCCAGAATGTGCTGAAAAATGCACTGAGAGAGTAAAAACCTGAGAGCTTTACATGCTGATGGATGTGAACAGGACACTGAAAAGTATTTCCTTCTGATGAGTCCAAAACCAATACTTCAGGGTTTGTATGACAGCTTAGGGCTAGTTTATCTTATGTTGTTGAGTCTGCTGGCGCCATTTGAAGTCAGCCTGAGCCACACAAAAGTATCTGAAAGTAAGAGAAGTGTCTATGCAGGAGGGGATGATTCCTTGTAGGAAAAGGAACTGCTGCCCTCTGTAAAAGGGACACGCCAAAAATTACTCCAAAGAGCAGATGGAGACAAAGAATTTTCTGAATTTTCTTTCCTTGAAGGCCATATCCCTCAGCCCTTGTCCTGGGGAAGAGAAAATGCACATGCTCCAGTGAAGTGGTGGCAGTGCTGTGAAAGGTCTCTTTTTTTGTAGGCTAAAAGCATTAGGAAGGTGGTGTAAGGCAGAACATGACCCAGCAGCCCTAGTTTGGAGTTGACAAGTTCCATTCCTTCAGGGAAAGGTGAACATAAAGAAATTAGTGCCAGAGAGAACCTAGTAAGAACAAGCACTTTCATTAGTTAGTGTAAATACCATTTCTGGGCTTAAAGTGAAACCTGCCTACCTTTTCCTAGGAAGTTTGAGAGTGGTATACATGGTTCTATACACTATGCCTGAGGGTGTATGACATGAAGCTATGGGCTTTGGAGTAGCTTTCCTACGGCTTCTGTCAAATAAAGGGCATTTTTGGTTTATTGTCACTGACTTAGTTCTAAAAGGAAATCATTGTTCAAGACCCAAAAGTAGCTGTGAAACTTACATAAAAGCAATGTAGAAAGGTGGTTTCTGAAAGCTCTCCTGCTCACTGGTATGGAAGCAGTCTCTGTAACAACACCTTTATGCCAAATTTAATTGTATTAGCACCCTTTCCTCCAGGCTGCCCCTTTCCCTATATTTTGTCTGTTTTGCTGGCACACAGCAGGCCTATGGGTGTGTTTGCAATTACAGAGGGTGAAACAGGAACAGCTCTGCCTTATCTCCCTGGTTTCCCAATGTCACTAAGCGCATTTTATTTTGAGATTCCTGATGGTGCTTGGCAAAGATAAACAAAATCTTCCATCAGGAAACCTGGGAGCTATTTCCACAGGAAGCTTCAAATCACTAAAGTAAATAAAACCCTTTTACATTATTCCCAGCCACATTATTTAGCTAGCCTGAGCCTGTAACAATTGATGAGATAGGTGTCATATATTAGGAGGCTCGTAGCCTTTAAACAAATGATTCTTTTGGAATTCTGTGCATTTTGCTTCTGTCCCTACATTTATTCAGAAAATAGTCTTCACAGAAGGCACATTGAGGAAGAGCTCCAGACCTGACAACATAAAAGTAGTTGTAATTGTGTTATTCTGTTGGCATGCTATCCTTTTAAGCTAAAAATAGTTCATTTGCCTCAGTCCCCAGGGATCTTTAGTTTCATCTTAAGAGTTTTGCTTGGCTCTTCGTAGCTTTTACTGCGTACTGGCATCTTCAAAAGGAAAAATTACCACTATTTCTAGCCAACACTATTTCTGCTTTTCCCAACACACATCAGAACAATTTGAAATGTACTGTGAGTAAGATGCAGCATCTTCTTTCTTCCAAGTACTTATCCATATTCAAAATATTTGCCATCTGATTGTTTTTAAGTGTGTCTGAATTTAATGCTTTTTAACAAAATCGTATAGGATTCACATAATCTAACTTTAATCTTACAGTTAGGTACCTAAGCCTAAGCTGATCATGTAGGATCTCTTCATAATTAAGCATGAGGGACCAGAATCTCTGGAATTTGCCCCATCTTAAAGCAATGGTTTGCACTGCCCTCTGGAGAAGACTGTGTCACCCTATGGACTGTAAACATTTGCCCACATACAGAACACAAAACATCTACATTCAAGTAGACGTCTACATTTTGGCAGCTGAGGCTAAATATGATGCATGTATAGAAGTGTTTCATCTTAATAGCACTTTCAGACAGTATGTTCTTAATTAAGATTAGAATCTGGCATCACACACTCTTACATATCAAGCAGGATCCTGATGGTTGTCACTCATAGATGAGTTCATGGAATTTGAAGTTTTTCTTATAGCTTTGTTTGCCAGAGAGAGAAAAGTGGTAACACAATGGAATGTAAGTGGAACAATTTAAGCCCCAGGCTTTAATATTCAGTCTAATATTTTAGTGTCACTGCCTCCACTAGGTTGATCTTTGGACTACACACTTGAACTACAGCTGATGACAGGCACACACTTTGCTCCCACTGCAGGGGCACAATGAGTTCAACCAGCAGAAATCAGGACTCTCCCTGGGAGGCATCTAATGTCAGGAGAAATTTCAATCCAGGACTAGCAAGAGCTCATTTACCCTCTATTTAGCTCAGGGCTAGTTGTGGAAAAGAGGATGTTAAGGGGAACAACTGATGCCAGGCTTCCAATAGGCAGAGAGCAGTGAGCAGGTTATGCTCATGGTTCCCCTGGAAGATAAGTTAGGTCAGTTTGCAATGTGAGGATTTAGGGAGAAGCTTTCTGTTGGATTGGTCAACCAATGAGAGAGGATAATGAAAAAATATGTGGGATATTATTCACTTGAGAGGTACTTTTTGCAAATTCCTGATGAAGTGACATTAAACCTGAAGCAACACCAGTAAGAATGAGCTGAATGGAAGTCAGCATTGAGTTTTTCATGATCTGAGAAACAAGAAAAGAAGGTATAATTCTCCCTTATGAAAGAAGAAGCCATTCTTAGGATTTCAAGTCAGGTTTACGGCCAAGTGCCATAGCAATTAGTTGTGAAAGAACAATTGAAAATGGCCACAGTCGATGTCACTTGACCAAGAAGAAGGAAATTACTTTATCAGAATATTGGCTACAAATAAACCAAGAGAGGTTGCATTCTAGGAGTAAAACTTGGAAGTGCTTTCTCTCAGGAACTTACTTCTACTTTCACTGAGGTCAGTGGTGTAAACGCTTTGCTGGAGGGATGAGCCCCAGGTGGAGGCAGCTGGGAGGCAGCTGACACCGCCACAGCTCTGCACCGCTCCCCAGGCGGAGGAAGTTGCAAGTGACATTACAAACAACTGCAAACAGGACATATTCAAGTAGGGCTTTCTACATTGTTGGCTAAATTACTCCTGCCTAAACCATCTGCTATGAAGTGCAAACTTAAACCATGTCTACACTTCATAAATTTTTAGTGAAATAATCCTTGGTTTCTCTCAGGTGAAAATATTTTTCACCTGTGATAATGCCAAGCCACCTAAACAAAATACCTCCATCCTAATGCTGCCCACACACAGCTGGACACCCAGGGCAGAGAGTACTGCTTCTGCTTACCTCTTGGGTGTCTGGTAGGCTTTAAATGCAGAGAGGGTAAACACCTCTACTCCAAGGCAAATCTCAGGCATGTAATCATATATGTTGTAATTTCTCAGGACATGAAGCATCTTTAAGAAATAGACATAATTTATCTGAATACTTGTGTATCATAAGAAAACAGTATAACCAAGCAAGTGATGAAAATGCAGTATTTTTATACTGCCCTCTTGAGATTCCTTTTCTCTTATGCAGTTCACAAGCTGAAGCTGTGATCAGAATGTTTATCCTTCTTCATAGTCCCACTATGTTGTCTTTAAGTAATTCTGCTTTTGGTACCTTTCCCCAGCCTGTCATAACTTGGCATAACATTTATACAAACTCATTACTTCCAAGAGCAGCTTCCATTTACAACAACTGACGTCTGAGGCCGAGTGTATCATAGCTCCAAGAAAAATTATAAGAATAGCTGGAGCTGAGTGTATGAAAGGAAAGATTATACACCTGAGCAGGAAGACAATGACACTGACTAGTTCAAAGGCTTCTTGATAAAGGGGGAAATATATGCTGTTAATTTTGGCTCATTAGTTTCATATAAACTAAAAAGTGTTCTTGATTTTTGACAGATGTACCAAGTGGATTCCATATTAGTTTGGAAAAAATGCCCATTGAAGGAGAGAATTTGGTATTGTCCTGTTCGGCCAACAAATTCCTGTACAAAGACATTGCTTGGATTTTGCCTAGGACAATCAACAATCAAACAAAAGCGAAGAAGTCTCACAACAGGGACTACTCCATCACCCTCACTCTGACCATCAAAAACGTTTCCCTGGCACACTCAGGCACCTATGCCTGCCGAGCAAGGAACGTATACACGGGGAAAGAAGTGCTTCAAACGAAAGACGTTACAATCAGAGGTGAGCACTGCAACAAAAAGGCTGTTTACTCTCGGATCCTCAAATATAAAAGCACAAGGAATGATTGTACAACACAAAGCAATGTAAAACATTAAAGGACTCATTAAACAGTAAGAGATGTCTCATATCATCTTGATTTTTGTATTACTGTTGCTACCTTTCAAGCCCTGAGGTGGTGCTCATTTCCCCATGGGTTGGAAATAGGAGGAATAGCAAACAAAATCCTAACGCGTGAGCTTCCGGTTGAGTTCAGACGGGTGTTTTCTGCTTTGAAAAGGCACGTGGAAGCTGGGGTTTGGAAGATCCCCCGTGCTACATTTTACATGCCGTTATTTTTTCTCTTGCTGTCTCCTACTGAGCAAAAAGGAAAACTTTGGATCAATCTTTTCTTCTGCTTTGATATCAGCCTCATCAAAAGTGTCAAAGCTGAATAAACTGATTAACTTTAAAAACTGCTGTTTTCAGTCAACAATGGACATTTAATAAGCTAACTTGAATGTGCAGAATGAGCACAATTCAGTTTGAGATTGACTGGACTACATTTTTTTTATTTTAATCTGATCTTGATGGACTTATAAATATTACCTGCTGAGCAAGTTCTAATACTTATTTATTTGAAATTATTTTCTACACTAAAGTACATTAATCTTAAGAAATTATCTTCTAAAAGAAGTATGCAGGGAATAAATAAAAATGTTGATATAATGCACAGACCTATCATATCATTTATAATAATGATGATTTTACAACTGACAGACATGAACCATGTTTCTCCAAATAAATCCAGGTAGACTTCCAGTTGTTGTGTTGGTCAATTTTTAAAGTCAGTTCTGCACTAATGTAAAAACTACTGATAAAAGTGTGAGTGTTGCTTCTGGCCTGAAGATTCAGGAGTTTGTAATGTTGTAATTATTTTATTAAATGAGGAATGTTACACTAACATGACTGACAAGGTTTTAGCCAGCACGGTTAGTTAATACATTTTTAAAATACAAATTCAAAATTGAAGCCATTAAAAATATTCATTGCTTTTGATATGCAAATGACAATTGGATTTATTATGGGGATTAAGAACCAGCAAAACTGCTGAAGGACAATTAAGGGCAGCCTAAGAATTCTTTGTGAGCATTTCCCCTTTTCCTTTGTTATGATTTTGCTATGAGATGTTTCTGTGTGCTATAAATTCTGTGTAAGGAAAAAATTACTATTTTTAATAGATCTGATAACTTTATTTTTTTACAATTACATAGCTTTTATTATTTTTGGTTACATTTATGATTGATCATTAATATAGCATTTACATAAGCCATAACAAAACAGATCACAATGACCAAAATAGCTATAGCAAAGGAACAAAGTGGCTGTGTTTTTAAAATAGAGGGTGACAACATGACAGTTTCTTGCGCTTGGGAACTCACCAGACTATTTCCTCCTTTAGGTATCGAGACCCTGTCCCACGGCTAAACTTGCCTTTCACGTGGGAATTGCTTTTGTCAAGTGTGAAAGGGTAAACAATAGCATTTCCCCATAATGCCAGTTTCATGGAGCCTAAAATGCTTAGAAAACAATTGATAACCTGGAAGTTGTCAGAGTAAAGAAAAGAATAATCATTTATATCTTGAAATGTCACCTATAGCCTGGTTGTATACAGTAACTCTTTTGTTCATTATTAGCATGATGGCTTCCAGAAACAATGTATTCTTGCAAAGGGATCAGGCTCTCTTTTTTTCCTAAAACATGCCTAAAATGCAAGTGGAGTAGTTGGTGACTGCTTAAAAATGGAGCAAACTCACTCTTTAGCATTTGCAATTCTTCAGAAGAACTACAATACAGAATCCCCTTTTTTCCTAGGGTATTTTGTGGAAAGACATTTGATGGTGAGGTGGGCGGTGATGACAGGACATTATGAATTTTCCATGGCCTTGGGAGCCGAAGCACGATGATTTGTAGCAGCCAGTTGCCAGGCAATATGAGTTTGGGTCAAAAAAAAAAAAAAAAAAAAAAAAAAAAAAAAAAAAAAAAAAAAAAAAAAAAAAAAAAAAAAAAAAAAAGGAGATGTGGTAATTAGACTGTTCTATGAAGTTGCTGTGCATTGCAATGATGTATGTCACTGCCGACTGGAGGTCCCACCAGCCTGGGCTTGACCAGCACTTAGAGGGCCACGCTGTGCAAGGATGTCCTAACATCCCAATGTGGCTCTCCGTGTTGGATGCCAAAGAGAAAGCTCACTGGAAACCTTTGAGGAAAGCAGTTCTTGGTGGCAGAATGAAAACTACTGATGTCACTTTTGTTGTCCTTGGATGACTGGAGAATCTCATGGGTTTGGAGAGCTTCTCTGCCTTCTGTTGTGTAATATATTATTTAGGGAGAAAGGTGTGAATTATATTTCTTCTTCTTCCTTTTTTAAGTGTTTAAAATAAAGCTTGTATTTATATTTTTGTACTGATTAATAAAAAATAAGTGAACAGACAACATAATCCTAACAAAGGGTAAAAATGGATGGAATGCAAATGTAAACCCAAAAATTAACCAATTGTAATTTTTTCCCTTTGTTTGCTTTTAAAATCTCCCCTCCCTAACACCCCAGGTCAGACAAGTACTCTGGTACCAGTGTCCTCTTCTCCCCTCTGCGACTCCCCTGTCACTCCCCTGGACCAAATTCTGCCTACAATGAAGTTCCTCAGAGTAACTGAGAGCAGAGCTTGGCCAGCAAGGCAGCATTTGTTGGCAAGCAGGAAGGCTGGGGTCAGGTCTGGGAGCTGCCCTGGGAGCTGAGCCCCACACTGTGCTGGTGGCCAGGCTAGGCCCTCAGCTTTGGAGTGAGCAGAGTAGGACACTGGAAACTAACCCCCTTGGCTTCACTGCAAAAATGAATGGGAGAAAACAGGTGGTTTGCAAAAGAGAATAATCCTCAGGTTGACCAAGTCCTTGAAAAATCAGCTGATTGTAGCAGAGAAATTATTGAAAGTATGTGAATGATGGCTTAAGTTTTAAGCAAAAGGTTTTTCTTAATATGAAATCCCATCTTTAGTGTATGGCTATAAACAAATTAAAATTAATCACAACTCACAGAACGTGTGATTTGCCTTTGTTGTGTCATCTTGTCTGCCTTCATTTTGGATGTCTGGGCTGGGGTGTCTGTCAGGGACTGCTGAGAAATGTCAAGTTCTTCTCAGCACATGTATGTGGACACACCTCAGACTGTGCCTGTTCATAGTGTTGTGAAAATCGAGAACTGAACAAAAATTGAGGCGAGGTATCAAGGAGAAGAGGGCAGTGTTCTTGGCTGCAAGGCAAATAGAGTTGACTATGCCATGGTGTAGGTATGTGATGAAGAATTTACAGTGCCTCTCATAAGCAATGCTGTTTGGGAAGAGAGAACAAATTGTTTACCAGGCTGTAAACAACAAATATCACTGCCTGTGAAAATTACTGGCTTGCAGCTCAGAAAAGCCCAAAAACCATAGTCATTGCACAGTCATGACTATGTTGGAATTAATTTCAAGGGGTAAGGGTATTGCAAAGATAGCCCACTTTAAAGGTGTTTTTAGTGCTGTGGGGCTCATGAACACTGAAAAAGTTGGTGGTACATAGGGTTTTAATATTTCTGGAGAGTTTTTATTTATGGCTGGTAACAGAATAATTATGAAGATGGAGATGTCTGTTGGCTAGTTTTTCTGTAAGGATAAAGAATAATCTCCCAAACACAGAATATCAGAAATTCAGCTGATACTGAACTTGGTTTACAGGCATCTGTTGCAGCTTGAAAGAAAATACTTGGAAATAGTTGATTTCTGCTTTTTTTTGTTTTGTTTCATATTTGTAATCTGTGTACCATGTTAGTAATTGCTGATTCTGGCAGTGTTCTTGAAGGGAAATATTGAAAATAATTAGGTAATCTGAGGGAGTCTGCAGAGTATTTCCTCCTGTGACACTGCTCAGGAGCTCCCTGAATTCTCTGTGACTGCTTTAAATGGACCAAAATATCAAAAATAATTATGCGAGAGTTACAAACGTGAATGAAAGATGTTGACATATAATGTGCATAAACGTTGTAAGTATCTGGACCTTTGTTAGAACAGCCTTGGGCACTGTATGAAATGAGGGAAGGAGTGGTAAAGGGTTGAAATGATTATGAGATTGTTTTGTTTCTTTCAGAGATGACTTTAACATGATATTTGTAGTGTGTTTTTGAAATGCTGTGGTGTGGTTTGGCCAGGCCTGGTTATGTTCAGCCAAATATGTGAAACACAGAAGTGAAATAATTTATGAAGACTTTGTCCAATGCTTCTGTGCTCATGGCTACTGGTTTTTGATTATGTGAGATTACTGAACATGATTTGTAACTGTACTCTTTAAATGAAGTGAATTATCAAAGGCATATTAATGGATATCACGGTGTCTGGAGCTGCAAAGTGCTATCAGCAACACAGAGATACTCTGCTACAAGGGTGTTCTGATGATTCTTCAAATCTTTGCTGTCACAGTTTGTTTCTTTTGATGATGAAACACTGAGCTTTCATAGAAAGTCATTGCTTTCGATATAAACAATTGCGGTTGGTCATGGAATTGAGAAAACCTTTTGAACACTGTCATCACTGGGCGTTCATTGGTCACCATAGCATGCTACTGCTGACTAATGGGAGTTCCCTGCACACACCAAACCCTCCTGAGCTAAGTAGAACAGTAAATAAAATCAATGAAAAATGAGCTTGGTAGAAGAGCCATAGCAATCTCTAACACCAGTAAAATGAGTGTAGGGGAGATAATTAAATCCCCACCATTACAAGAATGTAAAACAAAGGTGTTGTTTTGTCTTATAGCTCAAGAGGCACCAGCCCTGCTGCGGCAGCTTGCGGATCAGACAGTGAACGCCAGTAACTCTGCCATGTTGGAGTGCCAGGCTCGTGGTATTCCTGAGCCCCAGATATCCTGGTTTAAAAACCATGAGGAAATACAGCAAGAACCAGGTGAGAGCTTTGTATACTCACCTGCCTCTTCAGCAGGCTTTTCATTTACCCATCTGCCTTAGGTAGCCATTTGCAGAGTCATTGGTCCCAGCACCTAGATGTAAGGAAGGCAGGCAGCAACCCAGGTGCTCCAGATAATTCTGTCTCACTCCAAAACATGAGCCAGGCTGGAGATCTAGACAGAACGGGTCTTTATGGAGTCAGTGAAATATTTTTCTTCTTAAAAGAGTCATCCCCAGAGAAACATATTTCCCTCCATTTGTTATAGAGGGAGCCCAAGGATCACGTGTCTTGGCCAGCAGATATGGAAGTACCAGCAGGAGTCTGTGGTCAGGCACTCAAAGTCTGTTAATGAGTCAAAAACTATCCAGGAGACTAAATCCATGTCTGGGGTGTCCAAAATCCAAATGCATATACTGGCGGCAGAGGAATCCAGGTCTCATGCAACAGAAAGGAACAGCTTCCCAGGTGGCATGTTGCAAGAACAGGAAAACTTTGGGAGCTGTTTGCTGATGTTTCTGGAATGTGGCTTCAAAGACCAGCTAAGGCAATATGTCCAGCTGCTAGCACCATAGTCATGGAAGTGTTCCTTGGATATTTCAAATAGAAATAATTGATGGAGGAAAAGGCAAAATTTTCTCATGGCAATTAATGCACATTTGGTTCAGAAGCACACACTGAGATAGTGTTAAAACACTCAGCAAAGATGTTCAAGGAGGTCTGGTCCATAGGAACTCGAATTTAAGATGTAGTCTTCTACAAAACATTTTAGAAAGTTTGTAGCTATGGTTGTGTCCTGAATTATTGGGAATTACTATAGCATGAATAAAAGCAACTGGAAAAAATTCTGAGGATTTCTCCAACTGAGTTATAAGCCTGTGCAGACTTGCAGCCCAAGCACTAAGCTTAATCTAGAGACAGATTCCATAAAGATTTGCAGTTGATCACATTGCTGTAGTGTGCATTAATAGCACTATCTTCCAAAATGAATGTTACGTGCCTAACTTGGGTGTAATGCAACAGATACAACTGGGACCCAGGGAGATGTCTTCAGAGGGTAGGTCAGAGCACTTCAGTTAGGTGTCTGAAATAGATGATGGGAATACATTTTGATGGGACTGTGGTTCTGATGGAGCCAAACAAAAGTATGTACTTGACTACACATTTCCTTTCTAGAAGGTGCCTCAGCAGCAGTCCTGAGGCCAAATCTGCTCCCTGCCTCTTCCTTGCTTCTTGGAATATTGTTGAGGCTGTCTTCTGGGTTGACCTATCTGGAATAAACAAGGTGTTTAAAACTTCAGGTGACTCCTATGCTTTAGGATACACCTCATGGGCATTCTCTTTGCACTATCTGGAGCCCCTTTGCAAAGGAGCCCATTGTTCCATGCCGCATGGGCAGGTGAGATTTGGAGCAAGTCTGCTCCCATAGGGACAGTCTGAATGGTTTTTGGAAGGGCTCTAAGCTTGAGCTGCTTCTGGGACAGACCTGGGCCTGTAAGTGCAGTAATCAGAGTGTCATTTTTCCAAAAGCTTCAGACATGCTAAAGGGCTCACCTGAAAGCATAGGCACAGTGCTATCAACATAAACAGTACCAAGTACTTCCAGGATCATTTCCTTAGACAGAGCTTTTGACTTACACAAGTGCTTTGTAAACGCTGATTTCCAAGAGACTCACAAGGCATCCAAGCGTATTTGGCTTTCCTGCAGACAACGTTGAGCTGTGCAGTCTATGGCTCAGATGTCTTCTGAGAAGAACTTGAAATAGATACTATTACACAAGGGCCAGGTTTTGTTTATATCCTGGCTCCCTCTCATCATAAAATATTTCATTTCACAGGAATAATTTTAGGGCCTGGAAGCCGAATGCTGTTTATTGAAAGAGTAAAAGAGGAGGATGAAGGACTTTACCAGTGTATAGCCACCAACTTGAAAGGGTCCGTGGAGAGTGCAGCGTATGTCACAGTACAAGGTAAAGCACCACACTAAATGGAAGAGCAAGCTTTCCAGAGTGATGTTCTTAGGCTGGAAAGGCAGGGGCATGACCTGGGACTCCTCTGGTGATCTCTGAAGCAATTTGAAGGAAGTCCTAGCAAGGGAAGCATACCAGGTTGGAAAGGAAGCCCAGCAGGAAATGCTAACTCAGAGTGTGTTTACACTGACCTAAAAAGAAGAATTGCTTCAACTCAACAAAGATCAGGTCAGGGTAGAAGACAAATGTAAATTTAGTATCAGCAAAACAAACAAAAAACAGGGTAAGTAGCACTCTCCTACCCACGCATTTTCCCATTTCAGGTTAATCCCATAGAAATTAGAGGACTGGGATATTCTCATTTGTTTATTTTTCTGTGTAAAGTGAACTGCCAAATCAGACTGGAAGATTTTTGCCTAGCAATAGCTGCATATGCAAAGGTACTACTACAAGGAAGTAGTTTGATTTAGCTATTTCTGTAAGCATTACTTGAGTTATCATGCTAATAATTTAAATGTCCAGCATTGTTCTGCCCTGACTCATGCCTGTGGTAGTGAAATAATTTAATTTTACACTGAATAAAAATAAAGTTTATTAAGTGACCTTTCAATTTCATTGAGTACCCTTTTAGTTCATGAATTATGAGATTAGAGAAATAGGTTGACATTCTCCATATAGGTCAGTGTCGTGCATGTATTAAATTTGACATAATCTATTTTACTGACCTAAAATATGTCCTAGATGCATTTAGTTGCTCCTTATAGAACACAATTTGACTATAACAAGGCCTCTTAGACAGAGATTATATGTTTGTGGATGTTCTCATATAATTTTTAAATGTGTCTGAATACTTCTCAGTATTTGGAGCATCCTGCAGCACAAGACAATTACAACCAGTATTGATTTTTTGCCATGAGGGTGTTAGCAGTTGGAGTTAATGGTGGTGATGTTTTTGCTTTAAAAGGTCAGGGATAAGTATATGCACGTGTGGGCTGGACTAACTGGTGAAATTGAGCAGGTAAAACACTTATCCCCTTATGAATAATTATAGAATAATAGAATGGTCTGGGTTGGAAGGATCATTAAATATCCTCTAGCTCCAGCCTGATCTAGTGGAAGGCAGGAACACCTCCACCAAACCAGGTTTCTCAAAGCCCCCTCCAACTCAGCCATGAACACTTACAGGGATGCGGCACCCAGGACTTCATCACGCTCAGAGTAAAAAATTGCTTCATAATATCCAATCTAAACCTGTCTTCTTTCAGTGTGAAACCATTCCCCCTTGTCCTATATCCCCATGCCCTTGGAAGAAGTCTCTCCAGCTCTCTATTAGACCCCCTTTAAGTAATGGAAGGCTGCCAAAAGATCTCCCTGGAGCCTTCTCCACTCCAAGCTGAACAATTCCAGCTGTCTCAACTGCTTTCATAGGAGAAGTGCTTTAGCCCTCTGCTCAGCTTTGTGGCCCTCCTCTGGACTCGCTCCAGAAGATCCACATCATTCTCATGTTGGAGGCCCCAGAGGTGGATGCAGCAGTCCAGGTGGGGTCTAACAATGGTAGACAGGCAGAATCACCTCTCTCTAAGCGCCTTGATAATGCTAAAGCTTTTACAGCTGCTGTAACAGCTAAATAAATAACTTGTGCCAGCTGCTTGCTGTCCAAATCATCCTACTAATTCATAGTCCTGGACGATGTAATTCATTATTGTATTGATTTTTAACATAATTGAAGCTTGGCTGTTTATTACAACCACAAGCATTCTGTCAGAGGGTTTCTAGGAAGTCATATATCCTAGTCCAGAGGAGAGGAAAGAGAGCAGCCAGGAAGGCTTCTTCAGTGGTTACATGTCCTGAGGGACCAGGAGCAATGTTCTTGTATGACTTCTATGGGAGCAGGAGATGAAGACTACCACATTAAAATTTATGGCTTTGAGACTGGATGATGAAAAGAGAGAATTTGTCTTATCTATTACAATCAAGGAAAATGTCTTCCCACTCTTTTCCTACTACATGAAGGGATGTCACTAGAGGTTTTTTTACTCATTCCTACACTGCTCTGGAGCAAGTGTCCCTCTCCCAGGAAATGGCAGCTCCCACCTCATTCCTGAGCCTGGAGGGACAAGATCAGAGCTTGAATGTGTGGCTTTCTCTAAGCTTTTCCACTTTCTTGTCTCTGTGAGAAACACAGGCCCTGTGCCTGCTGTGGCAAGCACCTCTCATGTCCTGGGACCACAGTCCTGGGACTCTTGGAATATGGGGCTGCAGATCAAAGGGAGCAGAGCAGTGCCTCATGAGGATGGCCATGTTTAGCAGATTTGAAAAGTAGTTTGTGAAGGAGTCAGGAAGGAAACTGTCTGCTCTCTTTATTTCCTCTGAAAAAACATTCTTATACTCACAGATAAAACAATGTGTTATTTTTGTGTCCGAGATGGATGAATGGATGGTGGAATCAAAGGGCTGTCTTTAAATAATTGCAGGTTGTGTTTGGTTTGGAACCAGGGGTTGCTGAACTGTCTGTGGAAAAGAAGGGCCACATCTGTGGGCATGTCAGAGCAATCTCACCACTTACTCTTGGCTGGGGAACCAAAGAGGCAGCAGATCTGCAAGGAAAGAATAGAAACAGCAAATGGCTACCAGAGCATCCAGCAGGTGGAAGGGACCGTATCCCTAAAAGTCTAGGGAGAAATGCTGCTGGGCATGTGGGGAACACAGACTCTTGGGAACCTTTTTTGTGGAGGACCACCATGCTTGCAGATTTCCTGCTTCCCCAGCTGCAGACCCTCTCATTCCCAGGGATACAGTTAGTTGCAGAGGTGCTGCTTTGAAGGAGATGTGTTGATAAAGGAAGAAGCACCTTTACAGCTCATGCTCACTAAAATATGGACATATAACAAGCAAAGAAATACAGCAATGAGCCCTGTCTTAAAGCTGATGTTTGATAACTTAATGTGAATCCTGCTGATGAAAAGGAAAATATCTCATTTATTAAATACTCACTAAACTGTTCTCATGCTATGAAGATGGTGGTAGCTTTTCAAATAATATTTATTTAAATTACTTCTTTTAAATAACATTTCTATCTATCTATCTATCTATCATCTATCTATCTATCTATCTATCTATCTATCTATCTAACTATCTATCGAGGTACCTACCTACCTACCTACCTTCCTACCTACCTACCTATCTACCTACCTAACCTTTCTGACTTATCTCAAGAAGTTGTTGTGCCTTTTGAGGCATGCTGAAGTTATCAGGAACTTCTCCATGAAGTTTACCTGGAATTCCCACAGCTACTCAATGAAATTCAGCTTGGGTCATGACTTCAGTTTGCAAGATTAAAGGTGGACATCAGAAGACACTAAGACTCCTGTTACCTCAGAAGCCCACTAAAGAGGTTTGGAATGGAATCCTGGTGGTCAATAGGTTCAAGCTCAGTTCAAACAAGGCTCATCACCAATGCTCTGGTCTTGTCATAACTAACTTATGACAAACTCTGAGGGTGGACATTCCTCAGCATCTCTGAACAGCCATCCCAGTGCTGCAGTGCTGTGATTGTGGGACCACATGGATTAAGCAGGGTAGATGCCATTGAGGTAGGGGTGAGGGATCCTTTAGGTGCAGCAGATTAGCATTGTTGCCCCAGGCATTGCTTCTTCCCTGGTTGACACCTGAGCTGCACAACAATGTTTGTGTGTTTAGAGCTCAAATCCTAATGAGAAAGCCCATACCAGCCAAAGGCTTGAGCTTGTAGCTGGAGAGACCGGCAGATTAATCCAGGCTCTCTTCCTGGCATCCTTGCGTGGTTCTGGTGGCTTCTGTTGCTACTGAAAGAGAGAAGCTGCTGCTGGTGGCACTTCTTCACTCACCCCCTCCTCACCCCTCTGCAGTCCTGCAGACATGGGGTGGTTTTTGGAGGGGCTCAGGGGAGAAAGGGGGCAGCTGCTTGGGGCAGAGTCAGGCAGATGGGACAGAGCTGCACACAGGGAAAAGTCTTTGTCTAATGAGGTGTCTGGGTGAGTAAAGCTCTGGGATGGAGGTGTAAGGGATGCCTGAAATCTTCAGCTACCAGGCAGAGAGAGGGATTTAGTACTGATTAAATCCTCACCAAACTCTGCTAATCCTAAGGCCTCTTCTGAGTGTTTCTGCCTGTTCTGCCTCAAATTAAAACTTTTTCTACCCAGCTGAGAGACACTCAGAGAGCTCTGACTTCAAGGCTTTCAGCAAGACTAGGACTCTGGCACTTGATAACCCAGCCCAGCTGGAGAAATGCTTTCTGGTTGCCTACATTTGCTCTGACATTTCAAAGACAGCACCTTCGCATCTCTTTGCTGACTCCTGGGCAGCTGCTGCAGTGGTTAGATGGTTGCTGTCTTCCACCCCAGGCCTGACTGTACCTCATGGGTGTTCCATGTCCTGCTGTGGTAACCAATGAACCTTCAGCTCCTCCAGGTTTTGCTGAATAGATATCAGAAACTATTATCTGCCATCTGCAGGAGTGCTGCTCAGAAGCAAGAGGAGACTAACCATATGTAAAAGGAAATGCTGATGCCAGAGAGTAGGCAAGCTGCATTATGCTGTATTATTTATGCTATCACTATATTCTATATCTAAACCAAGTACTTGAAAAAAATACTTGTGAAAAGAGAACTCTCTTGGTATTTCCGGAGACTATTGTATCTCCATTCATTGTTGCAGTCATGTTTTTCCTCAATGAGCTTTGTTCTCTAAGCTCCAGAATGGACATGCCAGAGAAATCTTAGATATGGGGCATGAAAACAAATCTGGTTATCTGATTTTTAGGGAGACAAGACATTATGCTAATTAAGCAACACATCCTCTAAACAAAGCTTTGTAGCCTTTTGCCTAAAACCAGAACAATCCCTCTGGATTACCCAGTAAACTCACCAGTGAGACACAATAACACCTTTTTCATTTATTAGGAGTAACACCAAGTTGCCAGGCTCTGAAACTCTGCAAGTGCAGTTGACAAAACTACTGTGAAATCATGTTCAGAATTACTCCTCCTTGTCCTCTCATTTACCCTCTCTAGAGGGTATATCAGAATAAGAGGCAGGATATGATGGTTCTTTTTGCATTTTCTACCAATCAGATGGAAAACATATTGTGGGAAATGCTGGATTTTGATGCAATCACAGGATTTGCAAAACAAAGTGCCCTGAAACTATTTTACAAATCCCTAAATAGCAGTCTGAAGTGAGTTTTATTTTGGCATTTTTAAAGATTTGTCAGTGGGCTCTAATACTTTCCAGATTTCTAATGTTCACGCTGCTTTATTTTCAGTTCTTGCTGGTGTTGTTTTTTCTCTTTCTGTGCTTAATCACTTCCCTGGTTTCTAGAGCTCTCCCAGCTCCCTGCCACCTGGGTTCTGTGGGGTGCTGCTGGGAAGGAGGGGGTCCCTTGTTCCCTCAGGGAGCCTGGCCCTCTGCTGCTGGTGTGACTGACAGGAGACCTGAGGGCACAGAGCCTGCCAGGGAGCAGTGGACTGGAGGGAATATGCTAAACCATATTCCCTGGATTTCTGCCCAGTGGGAAGGAGGGTCAAGACCCTGGTACCATGCTGTGTATGAGCTGAGCCCCTAGGTGACAGATCAGATCCATCCAAGCCATGGGAAGAAGAGCTGATGGACTTCTGCTGGCAAGACCATGAGTCTCCAAGAGAAGCCCCAGGCCACCCCCAGTGATGGCTTTGGTGAGGGCTGGAGGGTTTACAGCATGTCTGGGATAGAGGTGCATGCTGCAGGGCTCAGCCACCAGCAGGGAAGAGCTCTCTGAGAAGTGGAAAAGGAAAGGCATCAGGTCCTGGACAGCAAACCCCAAGCAGCAGCACTGCAACGTGCCCTGGGTGACACTTGGAGTCACTGGTGCCTACACCAGCACAAACCCTCCCAGGAGCTTCTCCTGCACATTAGCAGCAGCTCTCACACCACAGTACCGCCTGTGGGAAAAGCCCAGCAGAGCCATCCCCTCTGCACAGCTCTGTCCTCTCCTGAGCCAGCAGGAGACCTTTTCTTTTTGGCTCTGTGAGCCAGTCCAAACAGAGATTAATACCCCATTGAAAAGAGCTGGCCCTTCCTGGTATTTTATTTTAATGGAAAAAAAACCCCATGAAGTGCCCGTGGTTTGCAGGTCATTTTCTAATATGTTTCCTACTTGATTTTCCCAGGCATATCAGAGAGGTCAAACCTGGAACTGATAACTCTGACCTGTACCTGTGTGGCTGCAACGCTGTTCTGGCTCCTGTTGACCCTCTTCATTCGCAAGCTGAAGAGGGTAAGAACAGACAGGGATCTCCCTGTGGCACCTGCCTGCCTCTCCTTGGCAGCCCTTTGCTCATGTCAGAAATTTTTTCCCAAGCTGCTGGGATTGCTGAGTCTACCAAAGAAAAATTTTGTTTCACTTTTACAGCACCAAGTCTGCCAGAGTTCAAGGAGTTGTCTGGACAACACTCTCAGGCACATGGCATGACTCTTGGGACTGCCCTGTGCAAGGCCAGGAATTGAGCTTTGATGATCCTTGTGGGTCCCTTCCAACTCAGAATATCCTATGATTCTATGATTTTTTGATACTGCTCACTCTTGTTCCTGGTG